TATAATCTTTAAGTAGTCAGACTTATACCAAAAACTCCCCCATTTTGTTACCCCGACTATCATGAGTGTGCCCTTCTCCGTAAGGGTTGCCCCAGCACCATTACCGTGTCCCCGAAGGGCTAAGGTGTCAGCGCACTCTAGCAGAATTCTCCTATATGCACGTCAGTTCCTGCAAGGTGTTTACCAATACACCTGCCGGAGTGAAAACCTCTACCTATCGGTGTCTCATCAGTGGCTAACTGTCGAGACGCCTAGGAAAGCTAACTAAATGACTCTCTTCCCATGTGCAATGACCTATGCAAGCTCCCGTAGATATCAGCTGTCTCCTGGCTAAGCTCTATCTTTCTTGAGTACGAACTTAGAGGATCTACAGTGCTCCCGCGGAGAGCTGCGGCGGCGGCGGGACCCGTGGGTACTATCCATAGTCCCTTACCCCCGACACACCACTCACCGTGATAAGTATCATGCTATTAGAGTCCTCAAACAACCCACAAAGAGTCTACGGCAAAGGGGCACATGTAGGCTTGATTGGTGTAAAACCTTCCCAGATGTCTCTGGTACTACCTGGGACTACTCTGGGGACCGTTCCGGATAGCTCACGCTAACTCCATCAGTTTTGGTCCATTTTACTCCGTTCTTTTTGGAGAAGGTACCTGACCTTCTCACCTTCACCCTCTTATATATCCTGCGAACAGCTTCTGATCGGACGGACGGCAGCGACGTATACAGTGTTATGGACATGTCTCCATGAACTCCATTTAACTAGTAAGATGGCAACTCCACCCATTTTGGCCCATGACGCCGGGGGCAAACCCTGGGGCCGCAGGTACCTGTTAGGAATAATTCTACCCAGTTACAGCTTGTTCAGAGCACTATAGCTCCTCCTGTAGTCTTCCGATCAAAACGCAAACAAGTGTCCGTTGATCGTTATTTCGTAATAAAAAATCCTAAATTTTTTTTCCAAGAACGTTTCCGATGGACGGTAGGGTAATAGTGTCCCAAAGGTTGGGTAAGTATGTTCATGGTGACACGAAACCGGTCTCCATGGTAGGGTAACGTGACTTCCTTAGACAGGGTAAACTCACCCGGCCTTTTGTCCTATCCTTAGGCCAGAGCGGACATTGTCACGTTACTACCACTACTTAGGTACACCATTTCCTTAAGTACCTTCTGTCCTTAGAGATATCTTGACCATTAGATATCCCTTGAATATGCGCCTGCATACCTGCCTCGTCTACCATCTGACCTCTTGGTCTTATGTATGGGCATAGACGTAGGTTACCATAGCTCTATAACGTAGGGTCGTTACACATTATTAGAGGCATTATCTGTCGTAAAGTAACCTAATTTGTGTGGGATCTTATAAAGTTGTATGAGTTTTCATATAAGATCAACTTGGTTTGCTTCTGAATGTGGTCCTTGAAGGCGCCGAAATCCCAACATAGCAGTAACAAGTTGGCCATCAACAGACATCCAATGGGCAACTAAGGCAAGAAAGGATCGGTGATTTGGTGAGGTCCATAAGTCAAAGCTGTAGTGAATTTTATATGGTACATCAGCTAGAAGTGCAATCAGGCATTGTTGTGCTATCTTAAAGGTTTCTAAAATCCAGTTCGTAATAGTGCTGCTAGAGCGTGGAAGTGTTAAACTCAAACCAGATGTAAGCGGAGTCTAATTCATAAAATTAACTATATTAGCTAATAATTTCTACCATTGCATAAATCAGCCTGAGGTACAAAGACAGGAACATACTACGGTAAGAAGATATGTTAAAAGTACTCGAAAAGCATGATATTCAACAATTGCAAAAGTAATATTGCTTGAACAAATCTACCGGACCAGCATAGCTCTGAAGATATCACTATTAAACTCAATCCATCCAACATTCAAACTAGTATGTGGCCATGAACTAGTTGAGAGTTGGCTTTGAAAGGAAGGTGGACCGGTCACTCGTGGATGAGATGGCCGGGGACCAGATTCACACGGATTTTGTTTTGTGATTCCATGAACATCCTGGAGATATTGATTCATGTTTTTTGTAGAGCCATCAGTATAGGTCTTTGCTGATACTCGAGGGCCTTATTTCATATATTTTCTATTTTAGTACTACTTATTAAAACAATTGTGGAATAGAGAATATACATCGTGCACACTTTCATCTCCAACTCTTGTGTTTCGGATCAAAGTACTCTATCCCATTGCATGATAGCCAACAATATCCAGTACGTCGCTTCCTCTTTGCAAGAAATGCTTTAGGTATCTGTGTTGAGTCATGCTCTGCCAAAGAAAACTGAATATCTTCAAGTTCTCCCAGCTCACTATAGGCACTAGCTGAAGATGTAAGTAGTGAACTTAGAGGAGCACTTAAGACACTACTCTCATTCTCGTTAATAGTTTCATCTATCTCCATTCCCTGACTTGAGAGAGAATCTATTTGAGAATCTAAATGGTGAAACATTTGTGAAACTGAATCTTCAGAACGTATTTCCTCTAAAAACTCACGTCCTAGCGCTAGGGTATGATCTAGGTTGTCCATGTCCTGACTGTCCTGGTTGGAGTAAATGGATGTACATGGTGATAGTACTAATGGATAAAATAAATCTGTTGATATCTGTTCCGTGGAAGCAGGTAGTGAATTTTGTGAAGAATTCTCTAAAGAACTAGATTGTGGATATAGTGAAAGGCAATTGAAAGTATATGAGTTGGATGGATATAAGTTCTGTGGTAATTGATCCCTCGATGACATTGAATTGGCTTAAACAAAATTCCTGGTACCGGGAATATGGTGTTTTTATAGTAAGTTTCCGAGTAAGGAAAAGAACTAAGTCTACACACACTATACTGATATTCTTTCATTAACTCAGCTGATAATTGCTTGGCCGGGGCATCGAGCTGATTTACTTGCACATCTGATAACTTTGCCTGGGCATTTGGCGGCTTTGCCTGGGCATCTGGTGGCTTTACCTGGGTATCTGGTAGCTTTATCTGGGCATCTGGCGGCTTTGCCTGGGCATCTGGCGGCTTTACCTGGGCATCTGACAGCTTTGCCTGGGCATCTGGCGGCTTTACCTAGGCATCTGGCGGCTTTACCTGGGCATCTGACGGCTTTACCTGGGCATCTGGCGGCTTTGCCTGGGCATCTGGTGGCTTTACCTGAGCATCTGGCGGCTTCACCTGGGCATCTGGCGGCTTTACCTGGGCATCTGGCGGCTTTACCTGGGCCTCTGGCGGCTTTACCTGGGCATCTGGCAGCTCCAACCTAGGTTGCGCCAAGACTCAACCCGGCGGTTGCCTGGCCGCCGCCGGGCTTTGGTAGCCGCTGAGAATTCCGACCGGACTGGCCTAGGCTTTTCAAAAGCAAGGCCGGACTGACCGGACTGCCGACCTGTAGTCCGGACTATGGTCCGGACTGGCCGCTTGGGATCACTGGTGTTGCTGCCCCACGGATATGGCTATTCAGGAAGCCGCGGTTCTAGTTGAATCTGCCGTGCTTGCTGCCGCCCCTGTTGAAGCTGCCCACGCAATGGCACCTGGCCCAGTTCTGACAGGTAGCCCCACCCCCCTTCCCGGGCCCATTACCACTACTCCTGCGGACAGAGTTTTTGGGGCTTCCTCTGTTACTTTGGTTTAACCTGGGCAGTAATAGTGGCTAATACTAAGTCATTGAGAAGAGCACCTGCTGCCCAATTCTTTTTGGAAATCGCCACCTCGGTGCTTTGCTCTGCTCGCCAGTAATGTTAGATGTTTCAGTGGTGTTGGTAGAGTCGGGGACTGCGACGATGATCGTCCGCTTAGGGAACCGAGAATTGGGACAGTCTCTGCTGCTTTCTGCTGGTGATATCTCATGTTTCTGGGGCGTCAAGTACTGATAACTTTGAACGGGTTACTAAGAAACAAGGCTCGCACGAGGTATTCTATATTCCGGAAATAGAATTGTGTAAGGTCATCACGTGAGTGATTGGCTATCAGTTACCGTAGTTGGTACTGTAACCAAAGAGAGAGCGAAGACAGGAGATGTGAGACGAGAGATATGTAACACAATAGCTAAGTCAGAACATCACGTTGCTCGGGCATGGGCAGAGTGGCCGGTAACCGAAATCCTACTCCCCAGACTAAGAGCCATACTTCCAAATCTATTACAGGGTGGGCCCGGCATCGGGGGGGGGGATTATCTGGGTACGGACCCCAGTCTAACTGGCCTGACACTGGACACTAGAGGTCGTTTAGTAACCAGACAGAGGCCGGAACGCACCAAAATTGAGGGGTTTCGAGCCACGATAACTCCACAGGTATCTTCAAACAGAGCTTCGAAGGAAAACAGGACAAAATTGATATCTCTGAAGTATAATATATATTTATTTTGGCTTCTTTTTCCCTTCTGTTTGTAGAGAACTGTGAACTGTGGGCACATGAACTGGGTAGGGTCGGTTTCAATGTACGAGTACTGTACTAGTACCTATTCTGTACAAAAACCTTTGTCTTGGCAGGTTGCCTTGTGGAAATGAACATTCCACACCTCGCAACTCTGGGAGAATGGAAAGGAGGAAGTACCATACTTTTTTATATATGTGTGCTGTTGTAGCAGATTGCTTTTTGAATAGTTTTCTATGCTGTTTCCACCCATAGTAGTTGTGTAATGATAGCTCGAAAACCGTCGCTTTTAGTGTCTTTTGGCCCCTGTCTGGTTACTAAACGACCTCCACTGCTGAGAATGACGAGTGATAGATGATGACTACTAACGGGTGTGCCTCGGGCCCATCATCATCAGGGGCCAAGACGACTTGTGAGGGGCTCTGTCATGGCGTTATGGACATCTATCTTTGAATAGATATACACTCGTATTCACTACTCCGAAGGGTGTCTAACCTATCCGGTAGCAATCTCCGATCAGCTTCCAGAGTTTCAGGAAGTTTGATTTCTGCTAGGGCATCGTGATTATATGATCCGGAATTTGTTAATAATTCAGTGTCACGAGTATCAATCTTGTTTACTCGATTATTACTGTGAGGGCAGTGAAGGGTATGTTTGTCGCGGGGGAGCGAACTAGAATTACTTCGTCCATGATACTTCTCCTTATAAACATCTTGTCTGAGGGTCTGGGAATTGGCTGATGGAGCCTATCGTGCCTGTATCCCCTTTGAATAATTGGGGTTTTCCTTTGGGATTTCATTGTACGCTAACTTATACGATGCTGCCACGGCCAGAAGCCCACGGGGGAGTTCGCGGGGGAATAAACGTGAAGTTTCAAAAACAACTACCCGTGAACACCAAATAAACTGGTATCGTACTGTGCCATTATCAGGGCCGCCTCTACCGTCCCAATTATCTACGCTAATGTTCCCTCTTGTAACACCACCTGATTTTACAAAGCCAGAAGTAGGAGATACTGGAACACACTGAAACGCCATCTCAAAGCCCTAGCTGGTGAGAGGAGATGAAAGAGAAAAAAAGGGGAGAAACGGGGGATGAGAAAGCTAGCGAGGAAAGAAAGGAAAGAAAAGTACAGAAATCACCGTTCAATAGTAGGTCCAATATCGTCACATCGCGCAACATAGTTTGCCTCCACCCTGAAAATCTCACTTCTTCGCAAACTCTTCATAACACTAACCTCTGCCTTTTCTTTAACCAATCCTCTCAAAGAACTCATCAAAAATCCGCTCAGCATTTCCACACTCCAATTGTCGGGCACAACTTGAAGGACGTGGGTTATGTCAACCCAGCCACCGAATCGCTCTAGTAAACTTCTTGTCTGCTCCATGCGCTCCTGGTAATCTTCTAATTTGAGGAACTCGCCGAGAAGTACTGCAAAGAGCGTTTCTTGTTCATCGCGATTTGTGATGATTTCCCGTGTCTGGAATATGGATAGGCCCCCGAAGAGACAGTAGTTTATTGCAGTATCGAAGTCTTTGAGCCCGTGTGTTAGGAGTCGGATAGCGTCCTCGTGGCGTCCCTCTTTCCCGTATAGTATGACCATCTCGGGAACCAAAACTTCGCGAAATTTAACCAGGCTGCCGAAAATCTTTGAAACATCGTAAGAGCTTTCACCACTGAGAAGTTCCAGAAAGCGCAGGCGATTGCGCCACCAGCTCGCCTCTAATGTATCCTCTGCACCGTCTGTGCCTGCTAGCGGTAGTGAATTGTCGGCGATGAATTCCCGGTATGTTGGTTTCGGTGAAGTGAGTGCTCGGTAGGACTCGTAAGAGTCTTTGAGCCGTTCAGATGCGTAGGGGAGCTCCCCGAGGGCCTTTACCAAATCGTCGAGGTGCAGAAGTATCAGATCGTTCACGTACTTTGTGTTTCCTTTTTCGACTAACTGGCTCACATAAATCCGTACTGCTGTTGGCGCATGCTCTTTTAAAATGTCTAAAACTTTCTCCGGCTCGAATTTCGCTTTTGCTTTATCGTCCGAGAAGACTTGGGTTCCTAATTTGGGATTCCTTGCAGCTAGCCATTTGCCAAACTCCTCGACAAGTGACCTATCTTTCAACTTTAAGAGATAATTCCTCACTTTCTCCTCCCCGTCCTCAAACTCTCCTGCTGTGTCCCCTTCTTCTAGAATCCTCTTCCATGTGACCAATACCTCTCGATACATCCTCCTGTTTTGGAGTAAAATGCTTAGGACATAAAACCGGCTAAAGCTCCTAAGGAGATCTGATATAGCCTCGAATTCATCCACATCTTGATCAACCAATGCATACAGTTCGCCCCGCACGTTGCCCTCAGATACCATAGTGAATCCCTTTTGTAGTAGATACTCAGGAGAATCGAGCATCAACAAAACACGGATCAAGGCAACATCAACTGTGGCAAACACCTCCTTTTCCTCGGCAATACTACCGAATCCCTTTTTCCGTCTCCAAACAGCTAGGTATCTTTTCAAGAGTAATAGTATATCTCTTTGGTAACCCTCTTGCCGCCCCGCGAGCTGAGCGCGTATTTCACCGAAGACAGGTTTGATGCCTCCGTAAACCCATACTCCCCCTTTGCCCAGCACAATGTCTTCGATGAATCCGCCCCCGAACATAGCTAGCACGACTCGGGGGTCCACAGCACTCTCTATAAGCGCTTCCTCGGATAATATGATCTCGTCTGGCTGGATATCGGTCCTTTCGAATGTTTCTAATCTGAGCAGTTCACCCAGGAGGAGCATGCCGCATTTCTGACGAATATAGGAAACCTCATGAAAGCCTCGTTCAGTAGTTGGTTCGATGGCATCAATTTTGCGAAGGGTCTTCAGGATTTTTCGAATTCTAGTTTTGGGCGTCCCATCTTTGGAAGTTGGTAACAGCGAATCCAGTCGTAGTACTAGAGGACTTTCCACTAAAGCGCATATCCTTTTACCTTTGAAAGCCACAACACTGCTCTCAACAGTCGATATTCTTTCGGCAATTATCCTTTCTTCGTTGTTCCGCCGACTTAACTCGGGGGATTCGTTACTTCCCGGGTCGGGATAGTGTCGTAGATTGAGTGCTTCAAGCCTTAACATCGCCATGGCCGCACCCACCACCCTCCCCGGTAGTCCGATTACTTCGCTCAGGCCAAGCTTATACCCGTTATCACCCATCTCCAGCAATCCTCTTTCTTCACTTCCGTCATCCTCAACATCATCCATGTTCCACTTCTGCACTTCGATAGCCCGACTTGCTATGACAGCAATCACCCAAGGACCCTGCACCAATACGTCGTCAGGATATCTCCCGAAACTGATGGTGCCCCTCGTGACATCCCCTTCTACATTCACGAATAGCCCCACTCCGGGGTCTTCCCATGTAGTGCCGGTTGTCAAAAGAAACTCCGAGGGACTGGGAGACGCTACATGTGGCATCAAAGGCCCCTTCGAAATCATATTTTCAGTCTTAGCTGGAGATTTGGATCCTGTTGGTGTCGTTTTTGTAGGAGAAGCTGAACCTGGGCTTGGAGAGGAAGAGGAGGCTGCGGAAGAAGCCTTGCTGCTACTAGAAGGGGCCTCATGACCAGTCTCGGAACGGGCGGTTGGGGATGACGGCTGCGAGCCTACAAATGGTGATAGGGGTCGAGAGGGAGTTGGAGATGGAGGTGATAGGTGAGTCTGCTTTGGCGTAGATTTGGCAGCCCGGGAAGTTGTGGTTTTTCCACGGGAACTTTGTCTACTTGTCTGCCCACGAACACTGCCGGTGCTGCTGGATCTACTATGGACTGTTGGGCTAGATTCCTTGGAGGCAGTAGCAGAGCTATTTCTCCTCTCCCTTGGGGTGAGAGATGATGTCCGAGGGGGATGTGACCCGGAAGTCGTCCTGACCTGGGACCCCGAATTTTGTGAAAGGGATTGTGGGGTATCCGGGCCTGGTTCAGTTGAGCGGGGAGGGTCGCTTGCAGGAATGGAGGATATAGGAAATAGCGGAATTTGACGAATATTGTCAACGTCCACCAAGGCATAATTCTCGGCTGTAGAAATGCAGGCAATCATATTCCTTCTGACGGCCTCGACAGCGCGAGCTTTGAGCTCAATATCTTTGACCAATCTTGCGACCTCCCCTATCCGAATCATCCGTAATTTCCCCTTAGCAAGAACCACAATCAACTTCCCCCTCCCCACATCTACCTGCCTCCCCTCAGTAGCGGCTCTTCTCTCCTCCTCGACTTCATTCAAGTCCTGCCCTCCAATAAAGGCAACATCCTTCAGTTTTGGGGCACCAGAAACTGGTGAAAACTCCGGTAAGGTGTAGAAAGAGAGAAAGCCCGCGGAAGATAATACAAGAGCTGTAGAGGTGGTCGGGAGAATTAGGATCTTCTTTATATAAGGCGGGGTGGCAGTCGTAGCTGGAGTCGGAGGTGGCTGGGGTCGAGAAGCGAGCATGTATATTGGGTTCTGAGGTTCTACAGCAGCACTGGGGGTTGGGGTGGCTGGTATAGAGACAAAATGTAATAGTTCATGGGTTGATGTTCCGACATAGAGATTCTCTTGCCAAAACTCCAAACAAGTAATCTCGATGTTGGGATTTTCCGGGGTGCCTAACGGGAGGTCATCAACGAGATCCTGAAGAATATATGGACCCACCATGGAGGGGAGGGGGGGTGATGAAGACTCCATGAAAGGTATATATTGGGCAAACCAATTGAAAGAATTTGAAGCTTGGATCTGTGGATAGCATGATATTCAGTTTTTAGTTACCCGGCCAATGAGACAGAACAGGTAACGTGACACTAGTTTTGGGCTATCGTTAGTAACTTACCGGTATTCCAGTAAAGAGAGGTGGCAAAAATAAAAAAGTAAGAAAGTGGCACGAGCAAGTAAACTCACATGTATAATAGATACCGGTATTTGTGCTTGTGCAGGGGTTTTTTTTTCTTTTTCCTTTTTTGGCTCGGAGCATCACTGGTTCCAGGGGGTGCTTTACGGTAGTTACTCGAGTATCATTAGGGAGATTCAAAGCTCTCAGTACGGTATACCCCGCAAATACAGGTATTCTGCTTGAATAAACTGAGCATACCTCTATACTGGTATGCTGCATCCCTCCTTCCGAGAAGGTTTGCTGTGTACCGTAATTTCCAAAAAAATACACCTCTACCGAAACACCAGTATGATACCTTCCGTGTACTGAGAGCTTTGAATCTCCCCATTGTTCCACACACCGGTGCGGGAGTGAACCTCTTCAGGGTTGTGAGGCTCTGCGGTTTGGACAAGAGAACCCAGCAATCTCCCCTTTACCCTCAAAGCCCATTACAACTGCAACCATAGTCACAAATCACCGACTATAGAATGGATAAAGAACGATCCAAAGGCCTATCCCTTCGAAAGAAGCGGGGCGAAGGCAAACGCTCGGCGAAGCCAGTCATCGGTCCACCACGGTACCCAACCCTAAAATACATTCCCCGAAGCTCTCTAAAGCTAACAATATTTGACCATGCAGACAGGTTCCTATGCCTCCAATGCCGGGTGCAAAGCTTGGACCAACCTCGGTGCCCCCGCAGGTTCGCATTAGAGACAAACAAATGGCTGGTATCCGTCTAATCTCATGAACTGTACCGAGCTAATCAATCTCTTCAAGGTTGCGGATCTAGTAAAACGACGGATGTCTACACGGTTCCCTATGCCTGGTGAGCCAGGCGTTGATACCCCGGCGATGCCAAACTTGCCGTCGGGGCCAAGCATGATTGCAGCTGGGGCTGGTGCTCGACTCCCTGTGAAGCAGCCCGAACGATCCGATGGGGTGAATCTTGACTTGGATACCTTTCGTGATCCGAATTTTAATCCGGATGCTTGTACGATTTCTACCTCTATCGCGTGTTTAGATTAAATTGCTTACAGTAACTGTTACCAGTTGTCGCTACGGTCCTGGCTAATGCTTCTGATGAGGAAATACGAGACTATCAACGCCGCCTCAAGGACATCCGTAACCGTACCTCCTCCGATTTACAAAAGAATGTCTTTGTAAACCGAACGCAGTTTATTCTTATCTCGAAAGAAATTGACAAACTTAAGAGTGAGATGCGTGTTCTACGGAATCTACTGAACGATCTACACAATACCACTAGTTCGCTTAAAACTGACTCTGAGAATTCGAGCACCACAAGTGATCTCAAAGCTAGAAAGGCAGCAAATAGGAGTAGCGTGGCCGATCTCACTGCCTTGCATATGAGCCATCTTCAAGCTTTGTGGAAGCAGGTTGAGGGAGCACAAAAGTTTCTCCCGTCAGTTCCCGGGAGGCATATCATCTTGGAATCCCGGCATTGGGTTGAGTTAAACGCTGCTACTTGGAAGCCCCGACGAGTTGTACACATAGTGCTCTTGAACGACCATCTTCTCGTTGCTACTGTGAAGAAGAAGCGGACAGACAATGGGAGCTCCGGCTCCCCTCAGATCAAAAATGTGGCCGAGAGGTGTTGGCCTCTTGCTGAAATTGAAATGGTGGACTTATCTCCGAACGACTCGCAAAACGCAAAAAGAGCTCAAGTAATGAATGCTGTGAACTTGAGAGTGGGGAAAGAGTCATTTGTTTATCAGAATGAAGACCTCTCGAAGAAGAGCGAGCTCCTCCGCCAGTTCAAAAAATCTGCAGACGAGCTCCGAAAAGCGCTCAGGGCTGAGAGCGAGGACAACCTACGCAGAAGAGACAGCATGACTTTCCTAGCAGGTCGTGATCCTAGGTTGCTCGAGAACGGGGGCTTATTAAACAGTCTGAGCGCGCATGGCTCGACCAGCGCTTTATTTACAGTTGAGGGGCAGACCCGTAACCTGAGATGGGTAGAAGCGCAAATGGATGAGTTAGATGAGAGGATTGCGCACCGCCAATTCGAGGAGGCAGTTGTCAGTGTGGAAAAACTCCGGGGCCTTGGTCGGGCGCTCGCGAGCAATAAGGCTCTCGTTGCGGAGCTGATCAACTTCAAAGTTGACGAGAGGGCGTCACGACTCGCTGCGGTAGTCACAACAGACTTGACAGAAAACCCAGCCAAGAAGAGTGCGGTCAAAGCGAATGTCCAGTGGCTCGTCAGACTTGATTTTGAGGACCGTGCGCGGGAGGCCTTCCTAGAGGCCAGGTCGGATATCATCAAGAAACGGACCAGGTAATAATCACCCTAAACTAGAAAGTCGCAAGTCGCATGCGGACACTAATTTGAAAACATGTATAGACAAGTTAGATTTGAGGGTGATGTCCCTCTCTACATTTCCCAAGTAGCCCTCGTACAGTTCACCCTCATCAAAAACACCGTTGAAATCTACAATAGCTGTTTCGAGTACCGCCTTGCGAGCGCCCTCGTCCGCTGGGCTAAAGAACGCGCGGATGAGTACATGGATTTATTCGAGCGCCAACTGCAGGCCATCGATCAGGATAGTAAAGTCTACAGCGATTGCATGCAGATCACGCGGCTGCATTCCACCATGCTGGTGGATTGCGGTCTTGACTTTAAAGAATTGAAAGATCCACGGTTGAGGGCTAGGAAGGATGATGGAGCTTCAGCCCTGGGATTGAAGTGATTGTCGAATTCGGATTCTTGCCCGAGACTGCGTATCTACTACTTTTCAGTGGGAGATAGATTATGTTCGACGTATATGGATCATTATTTATCACTCGGGCATTTCTTCTTTCTCTTGTTTAGCTCCTATGATACTTATATCCTGGCCACTGTTATTTCCTATTTAACGATGGATCGATTATTAATGGATGTTTAATGAGCATGAGTAGACCATCACAAGCAGCGTATGAACTATTTGACGATATTACATTCCATGCCCAATAGCTGATTTGCGGCACTTGGAGCATGGGGCTAATTACAATGTACTGTGTATACAAAAAAAAACAAAAAACAGAAAACTTTTAACCCTTCCATGCAATCCAATTCACCTCTAGCTGTATATCGATCAGTTCATCAAGTCACAATCTACCGCTTCTTTTCCCTCTTGGCAATCCGCTTCTGCGCCCTGATATCCTTCTTCAACCTAGCATCAACAATCTTATATCGGCCCTTAACCCCCCTAGGCCTTCCCTGTCCTTTGTTCGGGCCGCGTGCGACCACAACTTTAACCTTTGCCTTGGGCTTCTTCTTTCCTGCCTTTGCCATCAACTTCGTAATATTCGCCGCCTTCTCCTTCTCTGTCATACCCTCCTCATCCGCCATGAGCGCGCTCTTTTTCCGCAGCTTCTCGAGTCGTTGCGCAGCCTTAAACTTCTTCCGGTTCTTCGCTTCCTGGACTTTCTTGATGGGCCGGGCATTGAGTGCGCGGAGCTTCTCCTTTATGGCGGCGGCGCCGGCCGCTGTGATGGGCCGGTTAGGCTTCGAGTGCTTGTTCTCATCGTCCAGAAACCAGTCTGGCAGGCCATCACGGTCGCGGAAAGAGTACTTGTTGAAGCTGTCGTCAATTGTGTTGGCGTGGGCGGAGGACTTGCCTGTCGCAAGGCGCTGGGCAAGGGACATTGCCTCTGCGGTTATTATTTCGATGTCTGGGGTGGGCAGGTATTAGCTGACTGGTATGCAAAGTGCAGGGAAGGGGATGCACCGAGTTTTCCATCCCTGATGAGCTCCTCTTCGGCGTCCCAGGTGTCGTCTTTTTGGGCTCTGACGATCTCAATGCCTACGTCTTCGTTTTCCTCCTCTTTAGTTTCAAAGCCGTTGTTGGCCCCTGTTTCACTGCCGTCATGTTGTACATTGATGGAATTTTCGGTAGAATAATCTTCCATTTCTATGTCGTCCTCATCATCACCTTCTTCCCCACTCTCATCCCCCTCTGATACGCCGAATATAATATCTTGAAAGATTTCTTGGCCAAAGAACAATGCTGCCCTTTTACTTAGTCCATCTTCACCCTTAATATCACAGCTATCAAGGTGTGTGGTAAGCTTTTTAGGCCCTGATGCTTCATCCTCGCCTTCACTGTCACTGTCTTCACTGCTGGCAAAGTCGTCAAGTGCAACTTCGCCATCGGATGATTCGGCATCTGACTTGATGCCTTCCCATTCGCCATCTTCGTGCTCTTGTCGGGATTTCTTGGCTCTGTACTTTGCGTCGGTTTCTGCTTTCTTTTCTTTGTATTGTTCGTACCTGCCATATGTTGGCGCGTGATTAATAAGGCGTGAAAGATGGGTGGGGAAAACATACATTCCGTCCAATTCAGCTTCCAGCCTATCGGCAGTCTCATCCTCACTATCACCCTCCGGTGCATTGCCCATGTGGATCCCCTTCCCGGGGCGGTTGTGATCCTCCTCAATCACAATGTTCATCTTACCCTTTGTTATTCTATCTAAGGCACCAGCTCTATCGACACTCTTGATAGCAAACATGGATTTGCCTTCCGCATCCTGCCCCAGACCGATATCTGTAGGAGTAGTCATATGTAATTGAAGGCGGACAATCTCTTTCTGTTTCCTCTCGTTTTCCCTCCGCCTTGAGCGCTTCTTTTCCCCTGCCTCTTTCATCTTTAGGCGCTCGAGCTCTTCTTCCATTTGCATTTCTTCGTCCATTGGCGCGATTTCGGAGGTTTCCGTAATTTCTGGCTTCGCATTTGTCTTCCTGACCTCCAGTCCAAACTGTAGCGCTATCAGAATCTCAAGATTTTTCTCTAAAGAAGGCCATTGGGTAACATGCCTTTTCTCTCACAGAAAGACGCCACTTGAGTAATGCTCTGAATTCCTTCTTACCAAGAACTCGTAGGTCCTCGCAACAATGCCTAATCTCCATTGTCGTCTCAGGCATTTTTGAGATAGCTGCGATCGCAAGATCGCTGCCCTTCCTGTTCTCAAAGGAAAGTCTGCTCAAGCTACCAAGCATCTGAATCGGGTCCATAGCCTCAATAAACTCGTTAACAGGCGCTTCCTTGAACTGCAAGTAATCTCCCTCTTCATACCCGTCTCTCTTCCTCTTCTTTACCTCAGGATTAAAAACCTTTGCCTCATTATTCGGCGTCGGATCTGGCAACTCTTCAAACACAGTCCTTGGGTCCAAAAATTTCGGATCAACTCGCTTCGGTGCCCTGTAACCTCTGCATACAACAAATATTTCTGCAGAAACACTTCTAGAAGACGGCGGCTTTGTAGCCTCGACCTTGGCAAACAGTTGATTAAACACCCACATCAGATTATTAAAATCCCTCGACCTAAACACCTTGGTCACAAAAGTCCCCCCTTCAATCAAGAACTCGGTCGCGAGTTTTAGAGACTGTAGTACTAATTCCGCCTGTGTAAAGGCATCTTGAACCCAAGCTGTGCCGACATTCGGCGCACCGTCGTGAAGCACTGTATCCGCTTTCCAAGTCTTCAGGTGGCCCCGGAGTGTAGCCCGGCACTTATCTGTGGTGATGTCACTCTGGAAGGTAGTGACTCGGGGAATAGATTTTATCGGGGCGAGATCCAGACCGACGATTAGGGAATTGACAGGCATGCATTCTGCTGCTACCTGACACCAGGAACCTGGAGCTGCGCAGAGATCTATGAGCACTCTGGACTTTTCAAGGAAATTGTATTTCTTGTTTAGCTGAATTAACTTGAAGGCTGCACGCGCCCGGTAGCCTTTTTGTTTGGCAAGCTTGTACCTGTTACAGTATCAGCTGTATTTCTCCCTGCTTTAAAACATTTTTTTGGACGGGTAGTTCGGGGATGGCGGTACCATTTGTCGAGACGACCTTTTCCGTGCTGAAGGTGGGGGATTAGTTAATATAAAAAAGTGGCTGTAGGATTGGGGGCTATCCGCACCTTCTTTTGAATCGCCATCTTGGAAATGGGATTGAGGTTGGTGAAATATGAGTTGTCGCAGGATGGAGATATCAACGGAGATTGGGTTTAAAAGTTTTTCTCCTCCGTGGGCAGATTGGCTGCCAAGATTTGGGAGTCTGCAGGGCTTTGCAGAGCCTCATGCACCTACTAGAGAATCATGGATTCTGACTTTTTTGGCTATCTACTCGTGTTTCTCAGCCAAGGATTGGCACCCCATTGGTCCTAGTGAGTGGCACCATGTCCTTTTGACACAATAGGAATAGATGGGCAATAGTGGGTAGCTAGTATAAAACCTAACCATGTGAGGAATATAGTTCCGGACCTCTAAAACCGACTCTGGTGTTCACTTTTTGGTGAATTTGAACAGGGTTGATTTTGCAATAAAAAGAAAATTCCTTGGCATTCCTTGGCAATTCTTACCATCATGAACAGATACAGTACCGGTATTCTACCACGGAGTAAGTCCATGGCATAGCAAGCATATTCATACAAATAAATCTAGTCCTATAAACAATCCCTAGTATTTATATAGTAATAGGACCAAGCCCTTGGGCTAATTAAACCTGTATTTCCCACCTCCATAGGAATTCCACTTATGTTCCTACCTCTTCCCACTCTACTTTACCTATAAACAAAATACAAATTAAAAAAAAGTAAAGAAAAGTTACAAAGTATCTTTCTAAAAGTAGACTCTATGATGTGACTTGTATTCTTTAACATACTTTTCATAGTTTGGAGTACTATAGGTTACTCCATCATGAAATACTTGAATCTGATATAAGCATTAGTGATGTAAACTGAATATTATACTGGATTTGACAGAGACTAAAGCATTGGGAATTTAAAACTAATAGGTGTCATCAATATGACTTAGCAAGGATTAGGTTTCACATGACTCAGAATTCAGAGTCATAGGTATATTATATTTTGCATCTGACTTGCTTTAATAGTTATAAGGATTCATACAACTTATAGTTGTGATATTGTTAAGAATTCTACTAGGCGTGAGGGTATGACAGGTAATGATTCTCACTTTGCTATAAGAAAATTGTTCTTAGGCTGTTGCTTACACAATATTGATAGTTAAGTCCTGAACTTCTATCTGTCATGTCTATTTCCTTAATGTGCTTAAGCCTTCACTTAAGACTTTAGTCTTTAGGTTATAAGAGGAGAAATAGTTCTTGGTCTTGTAATGTAAAATGAAGAGCATAAAGATGTTTTATTACAATAATATAATATAGGAAATAACTTAGCAGAATATGTATCCAGCTCATACTCTGGGGTCCTAGTAACTCTTTATATATTACTCTATCTGGTGTGACTCTGTTATACATATGAATACACAGACCTCTCCCACACACAGACCTCTTGAAAACCATGAAAATTTCATGACCAACCCCTCCCTCCAGCCACGCTGTTGGGCCTGCATGCAGTAATAGTATCACTGGACCTTGGCATCCTGACAGTATAAATTGATTAAAATGAAGCTTGCTTCATAACACTGTATACGTTGTCACTGTCTGACCAACTGAAAGCTCAGGCTGTTTATAGGATATATAAGAGGGAACATCAGGCTGTGTCTGAAAAGTGGAATGGAGTCAATCAGGGAGGTAACTATCGAGCTACGAGCTAAGCGAGATTGACTATCTCAAATAAGGGCAGAGAGTGTTGGGACAACAATCACCACCAGTGCAATAAGTTATCGGGATATGCCTGTATGGATGAGGCATGAGACCTAGTCTAGCATACATATAGTATAGAGCCAACTGGAGGCCTATCTGTAGTTGAGGGACTTTCCCATGATATTGACTAGTCTGATCGTGGCAGAAAGTCCTCAAAGTTGATATGGTCAAGTTGTGAAGTCAATGACGCATTAATAAGTTTCTTGATAGAGCTGATCGCTTCAGTCAGGAGAATAGTAAGTTGGCTCAAGGAGAGACCACCCACTCATGCTTAAACCTTTGAGATGAAGGAATTATGCAGTTTTGCTGGAGAAGTTTAAAAGGCTCTCACAGAAACACGGCAACATATAGAGAGTGTTATCTGGGTAAGACGCAAAGTTCATCAGGGTCAAATAAATCCCAGTTACGATAGTCAGAGGTAGAAAACAAAGAAGGTATATTGTTTAGTGTTAGATAGATGTAGCCCATGACCATTCAGATGTGGAATATAAATATCGAGGTACCTCCTTTGCTTTCAGACCATCCTCCGTCTCCGCTACACCTCCGGTGATTGAAAACACAATACCATGGTTACTATCATGGCTTTCATCGTCTAGCACCACCACCCCCCTCCCATCTCCCTCTATCTAACCTTGGCTACAGGAGGTGGGCTCGCTTCCTCTCTCCCTTGGGGTCCTGATTTATTTCTTGATTCCCTCGGCTCCATCCCTGGTTGAGGCCTCTCATCTTCGTGATGTTTCCCCTCTTCCCACCCAGCCTTGCTTAGGTGTTGGCACGGTCGGCAACCCCCTTTTCCACCTTCAACAGATGGTTGGGACTGCAGTTGCAGTAGGAGAGAACAGCTTACAGGCTACAGTCGATCTCTCCATTCTCTTGCCCCGGTAAGAGGCTGCCTAGTTGGACATGAATGTAGTTACTAATAGTTGTCATTTACAGAATTGGGTCTACCCCTCCTCCACTCTTTGGGGCCTTTTTGGCTGGCAGGTGGTGGGATTCCTTCCACTACAGTGACACTATCTCTCCCAGAGCAAGGGACTACATAAGAGACGCGGTAAAACACCTGGTTCGCTTAGGGCTCCTCTCCATGGTTGGATTGGCTGGTACCCTACTGCCACCTCGTCTCAAGCTAGCACCTGACTGCCTCAATCGTCGAATGTTCCAGAGGACACATGGTGTTAGGCGGCAGTCAATTCTAAGTCAAACGAATTGTAACTGGGGCCAATAAGGTTTCTCGGAGAGTGGTCAAGAAAGCTCGTAACAAAAGTAGGTATCAAAGTATAACGAATATATTGATAAGATCTCTTCTCTGTTCGCTGATGATTCAAAAAGCTAAGAAGGCACCTCGATATTTATATTCCGCATCTGGGTGGTCGCGGGCTACATCTATCTATCACCAAACAATGTACCGTCCCTAATTCCTATCCCTTACTATCGTATGGGGATTCCATTTGACCCTGACAAACTTTGCGTCTTGCTCGGACTACGGTCTGCATGCGTTGTCGTGTTTCCACGAGGGTGTTCGAAACCTCTCCCGCGAAAACCCATGATTCCTTCATCTCGGAGGTTAAGGTACGAGCAAGTGGTCTCTTCTCGAGCCAACTCACCATCCTCCTTACTCTGACTGAAGTGATCAGCTCAATCGAGAGTCTTATCAAATGCCTTGTTGGCTTCGCAACTTGACTGCATTGTCTTTGAGGACTTTCCACTATTATCGGACTAGTCAACATCATGGGAAAGCTCCTCATCCATAGATAGGCCTCCGGTTGGCTCTACGCTGTGCGAGCACTAGATTGGGCTCCGTGCCTCGTCCTTACGGGCACGTCCCGACAGCTCATTGGACTGTTAGCAATTTCGTCCCAACACTTTCTGTCCATGTCCGTGGTGGTCAACCTCACTTAGCTCGTAGCTCCGCGGTTACCCGTCCGATTGACTCCATTCCACTTTTCAGACATGGCCTGAGGTCCCCTATTATATATCGTGAGAACAGCCTCCAGTTGGACGGACAGCGATGAGGTATATGGTGTTATGAAGCATGCTTCGTTTTCACCGGTTTATACTGTCAGGATACCAAATTCCGGCGATACTATTACTGCGCGGAGGGCCAATGGTGGGGCTGGAGGGGGGTGTTGGCTATGAAATCTTCGCGGTTTTCAGGAGGTCTGTGCGCGGAGAAGGTCTGTGCATTCATATGTGTAATACATGGTCGCTGGCACGCCTGCCACACACCTCCTCTCCTCGCTTCTCGGTCGCCGCCTTTGGGGTGGTTTTCCTTATACCCTATGCGCCCGGGGCTTCGGCTTCCTCCTCCTAGCCCTTGTCATATGGCCTAGTGGTTCCTATGATGGATTTAAGTTGTGGCCATTGGCCCTTAGGGGTTCGGTTTGGATTTCTGCCTTAGAGGGTTTCGCTCTTGAGGTTAGGCGTATTCTTGGTTCACAGTTGGGTAGCTAGCTTTCTTTTGTCACTTGGCGGTGGGGGTTATTGGTTCGTGGTCTACAGGAAGGATTTTGGGTGGGAGTAGTTTTTTCTAACCCAGAGGGGTTTTTTTAGCTCTCTCGTTCAGCCTGGTTTGGGGGGGGGCGGTCTTTTTTAGGAGTCATAGCTAGCGCTCCATATGCCTTTTTGTCCTATAAACAAATAATAAAATGAGTTAAACAAAAAAAAATACCTTTGCTTTCAGACCATCCTCTGTCTCCACTACACCTCCGGTCATTGAAAAATATTTCCTAATCGGGAACGACTCAATACTGAGGAATCATCACCACTTTTCTATAGCCATGCACCCCCCCGCAGGGGGGTGTAGGCTGTTTCTTTCCATCCCTCTGCCCATCGAGGTCTCTCTTCTACTCCTTCCCTCATCTGGCATCTTGCCTCTGCTGGATGGGGGTCTACTCATCACCCTGGGGGCCTCATCGTGAGGTCTCTGTCCTCTCTACCACGCTTTTGCTTCACCTCGCTTAGCATCAGTACAGTCGGCTTTGGCGGCTTGGTGATGGCTGGACGGTCAGTTGAGATGGTGGTTCTCTGGGCTATCGGGAGTAGCCTTGCCTACTTCTGCGATCCTAGTTGCAGCCTCCTACCATATTGTTTAGCCAGATCTTTGCTACCTTGCCCTCTTCCTCTCCTCTTCTCCGGGATTGGCTGGCACCCTACTGCCAGGATCGGCTGGCACCCTACTGCCTTGGCCTTTGGGCCTCATTGTCACTGAGGTGGTAGTGCTTTGGCCTACCCCTCCTACCTCCCCTCCGCGCCAGTATCACTTGGTGCTGCTCTCATTTCTGCCACCCTCGCGGTAGCGCTACAACTCTTTCCTGGCTCTGGCGTTACTACAGGTACCATCCAACCTTTTCCACAAC